CAAACATTTTTCAATCATTAATTTGCAAATGCAAAATTTACATAGCTCCCATGAAAGTGTTCAGCTTTCACACATCTCCCGGGGATCTCTGTTTTATTAGTAAAAGGTTTAAACCCAGAGCATTCCCCACGAATAACCTCTCTCCCTTCTCCCCCGCTCCTTCCTGTCCACATCTAAATGCAAAATTCTTAGCTTTCTTGCCTTCAGTTTACAGATTATGAGATCCAACATGTCACTCACTGGATTACTGCACATAACCTGAGCACTACTTGAAGCTTACTTGTCTTCAACTTGTCCAGTGTTACTTAAATGGAATTATCCGTCACAATCCATATAGCGAATCTGCATAGCCCACTTATCTCAAGATTCTGTGTGTCACCTACCAGATTATCCGTTTTAATCCATACATTGAATCTACATAACATATGTCTTTAATTCACAGGCTCTGACGAGCTATAGTATCACTGAATGGATTATTTCTCTTTATCCATTATTGGCAGCCCTAAAACCATTGACTGCATACTCTCTCGTGCCCCATCTTCCCAACATAGAGTAAGATTAGAGCCTGGGCAAACATGGCCCCATCATCCATCAGACACAGCGGGATGTAATACCTGCGCCGATACTTCATGTTACTTGGAGCACAGGTTCTCGAACAAAACAAGTATCTGTGTTATCATGCATTAAAGATTAGGATTGGTAGGCTAATCTTGCTTTCAATTACACTCATAAATCTGGAGTTACTCCAGTAAAGTCTTTAAGATTTAAGTGGATACAAAGAAGAGCTGAGTTTACCCTAAAGACAAACCCTTTGACATTGAGTGCAGAAAATAGTTTGCCAGGCTTGGTTAGGAAGTAACCTGTACAACTGAGAGGGATTTTTAAACAACAAAAAAATCAAGTTCAGGCTTGCCCAGTCTTTCTTGAAAGGTTCAGGCGCAATCACTATGAACAATGCCTTCACTTCAACAGCAAACCAACTCTGAAAGATTAGTGACAAAAGTCAGTTCAGCCTTTTGTTCCACACACCTATTCAAAATTAGCTAAGTGGGGTGCATACAAAATACGTATTTATATTTCTTGACAACCCTTGATAAGTGGGAGATGAACAAGATTAGCAGAAGGGCTTTGTGTACACTGGGGAAGTTTTAACGAGATTTCTCCTCCTGGCTGAAACTGTCTCACTCACATCCACAGCAGCCAGGCCAGGCCGCACATCTCGCCATGTACTCAGAGGCCAGCAGCCGTCTCCAAAGCTTGCTCTTGGGCCTTGTCTGAGCAGTGAAACTCAAATTTCACAGTTGTTTCTAACTATGGGTATGGCCACTGATAGCAAAAGGCCATCTCTCAGTGGTCCACCCTGCACGTTGCACCTCCTGCAGTCAGTAACTTCGCTTTGGAGGAAAGCAACTACTGTCACCTCGCAGTTCCCAAACAGCAGCAGGCTCTGCTGAGAGCAGGGAGGGCTGTAATTCTCTTTCCTGGAGAGCACTGAAGCTCTCTCTGCCTCACTGACTCCAATAAACTGCGTTAGCCGTGAGCAACTCAGAGGCTTTTTGAGCCCCTTTCTTGAATACGATGGGTGTAAGTTTGAATATACTTTAACCAATTCACTATACAGTTTTAAGGTTTTATCTTAATATACATCCACTCAATTAAATGTTTTGTATGCTTTACTACAACAAGATTTCTTAAGAAATCTCCATTTCTAAACTGAGAGGCAGCCCTATACTGCCTCTCTAAGCAAACAGAGCCATTCAAACTAGATTTCAAACTAAATTTCCAGATATGGCAGGTTCTTTGCTCAATTGTAAGGGCATTCCCTTCCTGTATCTTTTAATCAAGCCCTGGAATGCACTATTAGTACTATTAGTACTTTAGTCCCTCGACATATGTAGATCATTCTAACTAAGATCTTGAAGTTTGTAACTAAGCTTCTGCAGATACTCTCACTTTTTTCCATTTTTAGAAGCGTGCAGCTGAAGAAAAGGGGGCTTGAAGTGGCTGCTGAAAGTAACAAAGCAAGTGAAGAGGAAGAACTGAATACAAAACTAAGGAGTCTGGAAACTTAGTCTAACCATCCACAGACTTCCATATCTTTAATAAAACACTATTGCTTTCTAACTTATAAGAAATAACACTAACAGAAAATAAACTCTTCATCTTCCTTTCTCTTAACCTCTACCAGCGAATAAAATTCAGTGTGAGTACACAAACTTGGGCATTAGCAATATGTAGTCCAGCGCTGAGACTTTAGCACATGACATACTAAAACTCCCCCAGATCTAATGAAAAACACAATGAAATTTTGAACAGTTATGTGGAAAAAACTATTCAGCGCATAAGACAGTTGGGCAGTGCAGATTCTAAGTGCTGTCCACATTCCAGGGTGTATTAACAATAAGACACTAGTTGTGCAGTGTTTCCAAATATCACTAATATAGAAATGAAAGAAAAAAATGCAACTGCCAAGACAAATATAGAGAGAAGTTAATTAAAAACTCACAACTGGAAACCTTAATAACTGCACATTTGTATAGAAGGACAAAAACATTCTCTAGCCTAATATACGTGTGATTGTACACGCATACGTGACTACAGACCAGCTTCACTTGCACACCTTTCATGCTATCTCACTAAATACAGCTGCAATACAGCTGAGCCATTGTTCGTTTGCAGCTCATGGCTGGCGGTGCCATGAAAACCACATTCCTGGGCACTAAATAATCAGCCTTCGTGACCCCCCAAGAACCTGTAAGTCAAATTCATTTACCCCCAGAGGGCAATGCTCTATTGTATCCTCCCTCCTTTCCAGCCACCTAGGAACAATGGACAATAATTGCAACTGTCACGGCAGTCAGTAGGAAAAATAAACCAGTGCCTGTTTTCACAGCTTACTGCCAAACCTGATCCAAACACCTAATAACCATGCCCCCAACCACAGCACCACAGTTGCACTAAAAAGCGTCAGATGTGAGGCTTTTGAACAGAGCTGCAGAACAATAACTAGACTTGTGTTCAAAATATGAAGCTAAAAAACAAAAATTAAAGCAAAGCAAACTCTTCTTTGAGGCTGTGCTGTTGCTCCCATCCTCCCCCCGGGCGAGACTGAAAGGACTGCTGAATTTCTTTCGTGCTAGCACAGAGCTGCCTCCGCTGCTTTCAAGTTTAACTTGTGAGAGAGAGGAAGGGAGAAAAAAAGATTGCCCTCCAAGAGAACGAGATCACAGGGACCCGGGGGGAGGGTGGGGGGGGATGGAGAGCAGACTACTTCACGGTGCACAGCACTTCTCAGCGCAGCTTCACTGAGTGCAGGGGGAGAGCAGAATCACTGCGCGAACTCCTCCAGCTCCAGCGCAACAAGAGTTAAAAGAGGCTCCAGAAATCCTGTGAGAACCACCGAAACACACCCAAAAGTGGCTATGAAAGCTGCCTCTGTACATCAGACCTAAAACATTTTGAAGATTCGTCAGTCCATGGCAGCCGACGTTGTTACTTTAAAACAATGTGCTTCCAAACAACAGAAATCCCAGGTACGCCCAGTGGCTACCCTGCTCTGTGCGCCTGGAGAAAATGTGCTCAGTGGGAATGAAGGACTCAGGGTTTGGCCCTCTGTTATAACGATAATATCACAGCCCGTTCGGAGCCGAAGCACTATATTCTATTCTGAAGTTATCCTACATATGTAGTGAATATACATTTTCTGAATTACAGCCTCCTAGGGAGAAGCTAGGGGAAGCAAGTGGCATACTTTCCTACTTGTGTAAGTCAGCGGGCTAGAGCACACTAATGCTGATGGCTTATTTGTGACAAGCTGGAAGGCACATATAATTAAATTAACACTATCTTTGCACATTGACCAATGTGTTAACCTATCTGAGCACGTCATGTGGCAGTCTTTACTGAATACTGCCCATTTCTAGTGCAGACGGTCCATAAACCAGCCAAGCACGAGGTCTGGGAGCCTGTTTGAATGAGGATCTCTGCACTGGGGACATCAGTAAACAAACAAACCAAAAATAATGGAGAGGAATGAAATCTCGTTTAAAACGTAAAAGAAAGGCTTCGTTTTAATCTCAATCTACTTCCACATTCCCAAAACAACACTGGCTTGGATTTTGCTACTGTAGATGTACAGTGATAGGAATGGGAGAAGAATCAGACCCACTGTTTCTTTGCAGAACCACAACACCTGCTCTGAAAACTGAAGTTTTTGACATGCAGGTATTCTGTCAGTTCCTCATCACAGGCATTCAGGAAGAACTATAAAAATTTTAAATTACACGACAACAAACAACGACAGGTTCCCCAACATGACCTCACATATATAAAATGGGGAAACATTTTGGCAAAGCAGAGGCTACTGCTGCTGGAGAGTGGTCAAATTTTGTCATTTTCCTTCTGGAGCATGGCATTAAAAGAACATGCTTTAGCACACAGATGTTGTACGCTGTCTTTTCAAATCTGCGCTGGCTGATTTCAGTACCTAGAAATAGCGTAACACTAACTTTGGTGGGTTTTGTTTTTCTGGTGTTGTTTCTTTTTCTCTTTTTTTTTTTTTTTTCTTTTTTTCAGTACATTCAGAAAAGTAAAAAAAAAAAAATAATCTCCATCACCAAAATCTGTACAAACATGAACAAGGAATTCTGAGTACCCTCAGTACACTCAGAAGCCAAGTGCTGCTACGCTCTGATCCCACACATAAGCCTGCATTTGATAAGCGAATTTACATTTTTTTTTCAGTTCAGCTGTAGCATCTATCTTCTTATAACAGAGAATGATATGTGCAACAATGGCTTTACATAAGTTCATTCATTTAGGGCAATAAAACATTGATTCGTGTATTTACATACAGACGCAGGGCATACACTTTATTTCAGCCTCGAATTACTACGCTTCAAGATGAGGGAAGGGAAGAGGAACAAACAAACAAAGTTGCAAAAAGCCCGTGATAAATGTATATTCATTCTCAGTTCGTTTTAGCAGAGAAAGAGCATTACCTTTTATTTCTCCAAAGTTCCCTGATCCCATGGCAAGAAGCTTGTCTTTCCAGTCCTTTGATAGTAGCTTTTCAATACTGGGAGTTTCTGAGTGAAGGGGGGGAAAAAAAATGTAAGCAAATCAACATGACTGTCTCCACAATAGAACTCATTAAAAGTCTATCTGCTAAAAATAAGGCCAACCCTATTCTGGGCCCCAGTCGTAATGACTTCATCAACAAACTGATAAGAGGGGAGGAAAAAAAAATGTGTTTTGTCACCTGCTGTTTCAAAACCATTAGCTTTTTCCTCTCGTGGAACAAAGCCATAGTAATTTCGTATGACAATGGGCACATATAAACCTGCAGTTCATTGTTTTTCAATTTGGTGAACAAGTTGCTGCTTATAATGGATGCCTGTCAATTTCTGAGCGTTAGTCTGTAGTCAAAAAATAATTATGTTGATAAAATGCAGAGTAAAAAGAGAGAGAGAGGGAGAGGGAGAGAGAGAAGCAAAGAATTAGCTCCTAAATCTGCTACATGTAATTATATCCCTCTGAGTGTTTACAATTACATCCACTTTATAATGTGTGTTTAAACATCGTGTGGTGGTAAGCATACTGTGGAAAGATTTTCCAGTAGCACGCACATTATAAATAATAATAAAAAGTTGAGTATGAAAAAAAAAAAAAAGCCTTAAAAGAGTGCAAAATCCAGAGGGAGAAAAGGCATCGCTTAGAATGGAAACCCATTATTTGCTCATTTCAGATTCTATCACTTCCTTTAAAAATAAAATAGACTAAAATATATTCCTTCGGTATTTTCAGCAAAAATGCAGCCAGGGTATGGACGGGTCTGCTATTTATGTCTGTAACTCTCGTATTCTGACCTCTTTTTGTGTAGAATTTTAATGCATAAGTAAATATAAATGCTAATAAAATTCAGAGGACATTAAACTCAATTCCAAACAATGTAATTGTATATTCTTGTCAGCATTTAGATGGGTACACAATTACAATAGCTTTCAATCCTACGATTAGCACTGCATTCAGTTAGAAAATGGAGTGTACTAAAAGATAAGTGTCCCAGTATGCGCCATCTAAATAACAATACCCACACTTATTATCTGGATCTAAGACATATACTGCTATTCTCCACATTCGTGTTTATGTGTATTTGTATTTGTTCAGGCGTTTGTTTACCCCCTACCAGGAGCATAAAGGGAGTACATGTTAACTTATCAAAGGGACCGTCTGGCCTAGAGACCATACAATTATTAGCAACTGGTTAATTTTCCCCACAGTAAAAACCATTACGGGGAACCTTCATTATCTCGTTTGGCTAATTCTGCCTACTTTCTTCAAGCCCCAACTTCGCGAGCGGCGGTGCGGGAGGGAAGATGCGAGCGGGGGCCCCGCACGGCGGCTCCCCTCAGCAGGCCTCTCTCGAGCGGCCGTCCCACGGGGCAGCGACGGAGCCCCGCTCCCACCCCATAAAGGGAGCCGCACCGCCAGCGTCTCCCGTGCAGCAGTATTTCCCCCTCCCCATTCCCCTCCCGCGACGTTTTTAGACACGCTGCAACGCTCACTCTCCCGTGTTCTCTATACAACGGGATGCTTCCCGCTCGGCGGGGAAGGATTCTCCCCTCTAGGAGGGAAAAATTCACGAGGATTCCGAACCACGGCTGCAAGCTCTGGATGTGCGACGAAATCGGAGCGGATTGCTGTCGGGAGTTGCACTGCGATTCTCACTCCCGTGCGGGGCTGGGCCGGCTGCGCCGCGCTGCAGGCGCTCGCACGCCTATTGCCCAAGTTTGTGCGTCGCCTGTAAACACCCATTTTTTTCAAAACATTTCTGAGTCAGTCAAATAAACGGTGCCGATTTTTTTTTTTTTTTTTTTTTTTAAATCCTGAGCTTTTCACAAATTCTCGAGCAGCGTGTAAACAGGCCGGAGCAAATGCGGTATTTGCAGTAGAGGACTGTCAGTCATGAAAAGCTAACAAACCTTTGCAAAGCAGGAATGCGGCAAGAGAAATCCATTGTGCGCTGACAATAGGCTCCAGAGCCTGTAGGCACCAAAAGCAGCCCGTCTTACTTTTAAGTCTATTGTCAGCCAAGTCCGTGACAAAGCTTTTCCCCTGCGGCTAGACAAAATACTCTCTGTAGCGCGCTCGTCAAGGAACAGAAGTCTTCCGTCTAACTCCCCGCGTTACAGCAACAGCCGCGCCGGCTGCGAGCGCTCCCGCCGCCCCGGCCGAACCGCCGCCGCCCGCCCCGCCCCGGCCCGCCCCGGCGAAGGGGGGAGGCTGGGCCGGCCCTGCCCGGGCCGAGAGCGCGGCGCCGGGGCTGCGAGGGGCGCTGCCGCCGGTGAGCGGCTCCGCGACCTTGTGCCGGTGGGGCGGTCCCGAGCGTCCCTACCTCTGCCTCGGTGGCAGAGACGGCGGGAGATGAACGCCGCGCGTCAGGGAGCGGCTTTCGCGCGGATGGGGAAGACCGCGGGAGGAGATGGTGATTGGAGATGTGAAAGGCCGAATGGCAAAATCCCAATGGTAACAATGCATCTGCTCATTACTGTGAGAATATGAGTAATATGAAAATTTAACGCGATTATAAGCCCCGCAGCAATCCCGATGGCATGAAAGAGATTGCGCTGATCTAATAAGCGTCTCCCCTGTTGAAATACTGTACGTTAACTATTTAAAATAATATTATATGGACTTTTTTTTCCCCCCTTAAAAACAAAACATGTAATTGTATTTAATTGATGTACTAACTCAGTTCCAAACCTCTCTTGACTCCAACTGCAATTTTTACTGAAAGGCACTTAAATAGAATTTTGATATAGAATCAGCAAATAATTGTCCTGCTCGTACTTAAATAGAACTTTAATTCTTGAAGACAATAGCTTCCCCACCCCTATAGCTTAGCAGAGCTAAAGAGCTATATTAAATCTAAAGAGCTATATTAAATAACAGCTTGTTTAATTCCATTTATACTGTGTTAACATACTGTACTTGAATAAAATATGCTATTCACACACTCAACCTCTCACATTTCAGTAACTGCTTGTGAAATACATTCTGCATCATATCTTGGAAACAAACATTTACTATGCTGTTTATGTACCCCATTAAAAAAAAAAAAAAAATTTGAAATTTAAACATCTTAAATAAAAGTAGCTGTTTAAAATGTTACAGCTGTAGAGCTTCCATGAATTACATAGACAGAACCTGAGCTTTTGTTCAGGCTTTTTTAGACTTTCCTGGGAAGGTGATGCTCACAAAATAAGAAACACTGTTATCTTGCTTGTGAAGTACTCAAGATTCATTAGAAAGTCAATAGAACTTTAATGCTTGCACATACAATGTGCAATTTGAAATCAGAAAAGGTGGTCTGCACACAGGAGCCTTCCTAGCCCCCTCTCCAGTGCTCATTTTCCTCCGAGATTTAACAGAAGGATTTCACTACATCCAAAAGCTGACTTACACTGGTAGAGATTTTGGACATGCGTCAGGACCATTATGTATTATTACAGTCTATATTTGCATTTCCAAAAAGCAATGGACAGTGCACTCTGCCATTCTGAGTATCACGACTATTCACACTGCCTTCTAATTCCAACCTTGAGAGGAATCCGGGATTAGCCCCACTTCTTAGCCCCACTTGAGCTAAAACCTTCCGTTACCCAATTGCAGTGTAGGACTATGGCACAGAGTAAAACAACTGCCAGTTTATCCACAGCACAGTATGAATAATACATCTACAAAAGAGTTGTTCACAGGTTGTTTGTTACAGTCATTCATAATGTTTGGGAAATATTTTAGTTCCAAAAAGGCTATGTAAAGTGGTAAGTAAAACAGGATTATGAGTAGGGCACCAAAGAAAAAGACTGAGATGGAAAGAGTAACAGGAGTCACTAAGTAAATATTGGAGAAGAGGAGACCAACTGAATTAGAGATACAGATTAATCCACAAAAATGATTTCTGCTCTCTAATAGCACATTTATCAGTCACTAGCCCTTTCTATCTATATTTACAGTGCCTTTTGCTTTCCTTGTTTCACCCTTGCCTCTGTGGCTTGCATATGGTTCTTTGCATCAGTGCGTATGGCAATACCCACTGGAGAACAGCCCTCCAACTGTGCCAGCCATTGTTACAGCAGCACGCTGCTTCTCGGCGCCCCACACCCCAGCACTCTCCCTCCTCCCCTGCCAAGGGCTCACCATACTGACTCCCTCCTCCACATCAATGAGACCTGAAGGCTGATGCCAGCAGCCAGTCCTCGCACAGACCTCCAGTGCAATGTTACCAAGCTCCCTTCTCAGTAGTGTAGTAGTCCCACATTGACTGCTCCAGTTCACATATCCACAGGCACGTGTGTATTTATACATGTTGAGCATACATATAAATATATGTTGAAATTCTGGTGGTACTGAAAAGCAATGTATCTCAGTAAATTCACATAAAATAACTTTTTAACCTAACTTTTTATGCTCTAACAAGCATACTGCTGTCTCTCTCCTTCAGCATTTGACCTTTCACACATGGCTTCACTGACTCACTTGCTTAAAAGACAAAAGGTTTCACATTCTTAGGGACCAGTTTGTTTCCAGAAAGTGGCCTGAACCACAAAGCTCTAGTAAGAGTCACCACTTTTAGTACTGTCAGGGAGTCTTGAATTTAATTTAGTCTACTTCCAGAAGTTTTTTTTGTTTGTTTGTTTTTTCAGGCATTGCAGCTTCCATTTGGGAAGAACCTAGTCCTACTCTCAAGTTAAGTGGCGGTGCAAGTGCATGTGTACGTGAACCTGCCTTCCAAACCGGTTGCACAGCACCATGTTCCCTTCAGGCCCAGCCTCTCCAGTGGCTCTTTTCAATCCATCCTTCAGGGTCACAGTCTTGGAAATCTACTTACAAAAGCTTAGAATGATCTTCATTGCCAAATCTCTTCCTGTTACCTCTTTCCGCTCTTGCTGATTATTTACTAAAAGGAAAACTCCGACCTCTCTATCTAAAGGCTGCCTGCTTCTAGAGAAAGGAATGCAATTCCATCATGCTATAACAAGGTGCAGGACAGCTGCTGTTCACATGATGCACTTCCAGAAAAATC